AGCGTTCTTTTAATATGTTCAAGGCAATTTCATAGTTTTCAGAGCTTAATGCTAAACCACGTAGAGCTACCTCAGCTTCGTCTGTTAAGTACGATTTTAAATAACTAAACTTCTCTACATTACTAAGATTCACATTTTTATGGATAGCTACTTCAAACTGAGAATAAAATTCGTTAAACCTTAATATATTGCCATCGTATTGAGGTATCTGCAAGCGAGGAAGTTTTACTGTATTCTGCTGCTCACTTCTGGTTTCTACAACATTCGTTCTTTCAGTTTCGCGAACAACTTCGCTTTGTTTCGATTTCAGGATTCTATTTGCACAAATTTTCCAAGTAATAATATTATCTTTATATTCTTGCTGTTTTTCAATTTCCTTTTCTATTTCTTCCGTTTTGCACAGTTTTAGAATTTCCTCGTTAAGATACTTTAAATTAGCTTCTTTATCTAAAAGTTTCGCTAAAAGTTCATCAATTAAATCAACTGATTCCTGTTTGTTTATTTCAGTTTCTAACAGTTTCATAGGTGTCAGTTGCCGCGTCTGACAGGTGCTCTAATCTTTTTTAAAGCTTCAATATCCATCATAACAATTTAAATTATTCAATTCGCTAAATATGTTTTTCAGTATTCAATTCGCTAAATACGTTTTTCAGTATTCAATTCGCAATTTACTTTATCTAAAGGTCTCTCCCGGGTTTCGGCACCAAAAAGATTTGTAAATACGCATATACATTCTTTGTCGCTAAAACTGAATTCAATTCAATATATAAAGAAATCTCACTTACCTGTCAGACGCATTCACCACTTTTATCATTTTATTGACGACACAATTAAATACATTTACAACAAAAAGAAGCACATATAAACTTTGGTTAATGTTTCGTGTTGGTGTTACATCTTTCGCAGTCATCAAGGTTCTAAACTAGTCCGAAGAATTTAAGCGCACACAGCGCCATCTGGTACAATACAGTTTCTACACTTGACAGACATTTTTGTGTTAGAGAGGTGTACTGTATTTCCACACCATGCTGTTTTGTTTTATATATGGATCACAATGGCTGCTTCATCTCCTGTAACTGTCTATGAATAAAAAATTTTATTAGTATTTATCATGAGTATTTCTTGAAAACATTTAATCTAGTATTCTTCATTTCTATTGTCAACTTCCTGGATTATCCATCTGTCTCAGACCTTCAACATTTTCAGCCTTTTATGCATCATTTTTTTGTACTGATCCCATATTGATGCCCATTTCTGTAGCAATCTGAGACATTGGCACACATTTATTTTCCATTATATTCTTCTACTTTAGTGCATATATCTTCCATTATATTCTTCTACTTTAGTGCATATATCTTCCATTATATTCTTCTACTTTAGTGCATATATCTTCACTGTTCCCATTCATACTGTGGCCTGGTCTAAGATCATTTCTTGGCATCTCTCTCCCATGTCTAAACATGGCAGCCTACCTTTTGACAGTGGCATAGGAAGTTATTGTATCACCAAAGACTGAATTATACATTCAGAAATATTTCTAAGTGCCCCCCCCCAAGAATCATCAAATAAAGTTTAAGATTTTTTTAAAAAAAGAGCCATTGCTATCTGAAATAAAAAAATTATACTTGCTATGTGTGCTTTCTTTTTATACTTCCCAGGTATGCTACATTTTATCATTCCACAAATATTAATTTAGTTTTATAATTTATTGAATGTCTGTCATATTTAATTTGATCATCTTCAAAATTAATGGAGTTTTATTTAAAGTTTACAGTAGACTGAGGTTGCTTTTTTTGCCTGATTTAACATAGCTTTTAATAGCATGAAATGTCAGTTTACTAAATTATAGCAATTCATTATTTATGGGAACTGGTATTTAAGTATAGTGGAAGTATTACCTAGCTCTTTGTATCCATTAGAACAGAGTGTCTTAAACTGTGTGCAGAACCTGGTTTAGGGATCGACAAAAATTTTAGCAATTTTTATATTTCTTTAACTTATAATAATTTTACAATTACCAAATACTTTTACATAATGTATCTGAAAATAGATAAAGATAAGACAATACAAAGAAAAAACGAAAATGTTTCGGCACATTTTTTCATAATAGAAACATTTATTTTATTTTAAAAGTTAAAATTAATGACTTAAAAGTGCAATAGTATATTAAATTACAAGTGAAGAAACTGACAGTTTCACTCATGCATGTGTCGCATTTGTGCTATGCTTATGTGGTCCCACAAAATTTTCGTAAATATTATGGGGTGCCCGCAGCAAAAAGTTTAAGAAACTCTGCATTAGAACAATAAAAATATTTTCTGACTTTATGAGTATTGCATCCATTTTTTCATATGTCTTTTTTATGCTGTTTCTTTCCCTCTTCTTTCTTCCCCCTCTATCTCGAGGGTGAGTAAATGACGAGTGGAAACTTTTTTTGACTTTCTTGCAAAATCAGCCCTTTTTTTTTTAAGGGGGGGAGGGAGTTGTCAAGAAGGAATTTAAAATGTTAGCTTTTTTATGTTCTTCAGGATGGTCTTAATGCTAGGTTTACAGACATTTTTGTGTACCAATAGTTATGGACACCCATCAAATTGATGGTATAAGAAACCACATATTTTATTTTAAAAAAAGATTAATTTCATTTAAAAATACTTAGAGTCATAACACTAGAACTAGCAACAACCACCAGTTTTTATTGGTGTAAAAAAAGTTACGGTAGTTTTAGTGTTAACAGACTTACCAGAGCAATCTTTGGTACTAATTGTTCTCTCTAACAATTCAGTATATCTTCTGGAATTAAATGATGACTAAAGAAGAGTATTCTATTTGAATGAAATAAAACTAGCACTTCCTTCTGATTCTATAATGATATTGCTAATGCTCCATAATAATGTAGTATTTTCTTCTCTATTGTCTCAATTTGCACTAACTGAAGCTTTTTCTAAAACATCTTCACACATTGACTGAGACTTCACAACTGCATATTGTTTCTTAGACTTGAGTCTAATTCTTTATGTTTACAATTTAGGCACATACAATTGACAGACTATCACACGTCGCATATCTTTTGCTGTGGTCAACCGCAGTGTTTGAAATTATCAAAAGATATTTTTATTGTATTCTGATTTTTATTTAGTATCTATATTGTAACAATTTTTACATTTGTCATTCAAAAAATAATTTCATAAAAAAATGGTTTATTTCTAGTAACTGGGAAACTATTGATAATGAAATTAAAGAGAAATATATAAAAAACATTATGAAATTAGAGGGAAATAAATTTGGTTATGTAGTCATCTCATTACATTGATAATTTTCAGCATAAGTTAGAAATAATTGTTGGCATAAATTAGAAACTATAAAAATAACAGTTTTTGTAATTTTGCTCATAAAGCCATTATAACTGTTACATCTCTATTCACAGTAGTTGAAACTGTTACATCTATATTCACAGTAGTTTAAATGGAGTACAACTGCTAGGTTATGGCTTAGATCTTTTCCTACTTCCTGAGAAGATTTTGGATGGTTATAGCAAGCATAAACTTTTCATGTTCTCCTCTTGTATACCAAAAGAACTATATTGTGTTCCTCTTCATGCAGGGCTTGAAATTTTTTAATAGTAAAATAATATTTTGAAATGTTTTTAATACCCTACTCCTTTGCTGTTTGTTTTCAATTATGCACAGACACATTTTCTGCATTTTGGGGCTTCCTAAAAAAAAGACAAAGCAGTTTTCATTGTACATTTAATGTGTTAATAATGTATGAGAACATCTGCATGAATTTCATAGTGTAGAGCTGTTTGTTAGAGAGACATTTTTTAGTCCCTGCGTGCACAGTAAAAACTTTTTGATCACCCATCTTAAATGTGTTTTTGAAAAATGCTCTAAAATGTGTGAAAACAATCATCTCCTTGTCCTTTTGCTTCTTAAATACATTATGTATTTTGAAGAAGGTTTTGATTCATTGCCATGTGGCAATAGAAGCTGTATTTTAGAAAGCAAATAAATTCATTTTTAGGAAATAAATATGATTACTTACAGTAATTATAAGTGGCAGAAATAAAAATCTGCACTGTCTGAAATGTAGCTAGCAATTAGAAAAGACTTTTTAATGAATCATGATTTTATTCTTACCATTCTTTTAATTTCTTGCTTCAAGGAAATTAAATAATTGACATTCTTGTGGATAAATGAGACGTATTAATATGTTGATTGATTGATTGCTTCATTAATTGATTATTGATTGATTCATTGATAAAAACTTCACAAGTCATTTTTAGCAGTGTTTCAAAAACAAAATTATAATTGACAGTCCTTGGCCTCAGTATAGTTTGACCATTGCTAAGGTAATCTTGGTTGGCATTCTGTCAAAATACTTACAGTTGTACAGGGGGATTGTTAATTATAAATCAGTATGAGAGTCCTTCATTTGCTGGAGGCAAAATCCCCTTGGTCATCCTGCTATAAAATGCTATTTGTCCTTTGGCAGATATTCATGAAATGAAGGCTAAATAATTGTAATAATTATTTATTATAGCATAATTACCATGATATATTATAATTAAAATTAGAATAATTATAATTAAATATTTATTTACTTTACCTTAAAAGTATACATAAAGCAAAATTAAATTTTGAGGACACTAATTTTTTGAATTTATTTACTTACATTACATAAATTAATGCCCAAAATTAAATGCATTGTAATCAAACAGTTAATTACAAATGATAATTTGCATAATCAACATATCAGTTTAGATTTCTAAAAGGTAAATTTCCATCTTCTTAACTTTGCAAAATAAGAAGGGAAAAGAAAAAAAATTCCTATTGAATAATCACCCACCTTGTTTTATAAATAAATAAATCAATATTGCATATGCATGTGTATGTTTGTCAAACTATATTAGTATAAATCTTGATTTTTTTAAATGTTATTTTTTAAGTTATTTATGTTTTATGGATATTAATATATAAAACTAATTCTTTGTTATTTAACAGGCATTACATGATACTCTTTTAGAGTCAAATCTTGATCCCAAAGAAATAGAAAAAGCTAAACAAGGACAAAAAGCAGATTTTCCAAGTGGAATACCTGAATGTGGCACTGATGCTCTGAGGTTTGCTTTATGTGCATACACTGCTCAAGGTAAAAATATATTCCCTAATTATTTGATGTATTGCATTAGTTTCCGTAGTATTTTATTATTGAAAACTAGTAAACATTTTGCAAATTTTTTGTATCAGGTCGGGACATAAATTTAGATATAAATAGAGTTGAAGGATACCGTCATTTTTGCAATAAACTTTGGAATGCCACAAAATTTGCATTGATGTCTCTTGGAGTTGATTTTGTATCTAAAGAAAAATTCATGGTAATATAACAATATCAAATATTTCCTGTGTAATATTTTGTAAATAATGCATTTAGTATTCATATATGTCAGCATGTAAATATTCATTTATGTTGAGTAATTTATTTAACATTAGGCTATGTGACTAGACTTAGAATTTTACTCCAAAATTTCAGCCAAAACTAAAAACCCATGCATAAATTAGATTTAAAGTTGTTCTAATGTATATTATCCAAAGAGCTTATAAATGATGATCTAACTTAATGACATCTATTGGATAAATTGAAGGTAAATGCCAATTCATCATCCATTCAAAAAAAAAAAAAAAAAAAAAAAAATGTGATGTGTTCACCACGACTTCCTTGTACGGAATATTAAATTATATGCATTTTTTCCTGCATTTCATTTAAACTTATCGAATTCTACTTCGTGGATAGTGAATAAATCACAATAGAACCACAACACTCTTTAAAATTCACTATATTTATTTACCATAGCGACACTGACACTAGGTTCACTTAACAGCGTTATATCTCATTCATTTTATAACTCAAAATGCACAAAATTTATATCATCTGAAGAATTATCTAATCGTTGCCACATGTTCTGTTCAAATACTATAATAGATCTAAAATGATGCATAAAAGAAATTAAACAAATAAAAAAGAAACACTTCTTCACAGGCAATTCAGTGCCACTTACCTAATGTGCATGTACTACTCATAAACATTCTCATCTGTCCAAGTCAGACTGGCGACAATATTTGCTGCTAATACAAAACACTTATTTCCTCAAACTTCGTTAAAGACATATTTCTCTTTCAATTAATTCAGTTCTCACTTGACAACAAGGTGAAAATATATAAAAACTCAAAATATCTACATTGAAAGTTGAAAGATATAGAAAAACATGAAACACCAAATACAGTTAAAACAATTAAAAATCAATTTTTACAATTAAGTTAGAGTTTCTGCACGAAAACAAGCAATTCGGCCAGCAGGCAAAAAGACAGATTTTTCAGTGCACAAAACTAAGAGTTTCCTTTTGGTCCCACTCAGCAAAAAGACACTAATGGCTTAGAAACTCAATTCATTCTGGACACTGTGCTGAGTTAATGTGTGGGATAATTTAATAACTTAAATGATAATTCCGGAATGGATTAAGCATAATTTAATTTGCAATAATAAAAGAAGACATTACCTTTGTTGTTGCAAAGCTTGGTTTCTCTTGATTGGCAACAGATCCACAATTCTGCTAAGTTTCAAATATAAACAAATATGTCTGCTATGGTTAAAAAAAAAAAAAAATAGGCTCAGTCGCACTTAAATAACTTTTAAAGTGTTAAATTGTTGATAATTCTACAACCATAACATGCAGATTAACCAAAGGCATAAAAACCTTAACTGGAAGATACAAACAATATAATTCAATCATTTTTAAAACAAAAAAAAAAAATATTCAATTTACCAACATGTAATAAAAAAACCGAGTTCACGGAGCCGAATAACAGAGCAGGCATATATGTGTACATATACTTTTAGTGCTGCCGACTGCAACCAAAAAAGGAGGTGCACAACTTTGTGTTATAGCAGTCTCATATACAAAATTTCAACATTCTAAGGCTATTAATTAAATATTTTGCATCTTCAAAATGTTGTAAAGACATCGTAAAAGTTACCACAACCACTTAGCAACCTCTCGGACCAGTATGACGTTGCCGTGCTACTTGGGATGTATCTCGCGTAAATCAAAAATGAGTAGCCTCAGAACGTTTAAACTTTGTATATGGGACTGCTATAACATGTAGTTGTGAACCTCCCTTTTTGGTTGCAATTGGCCACACCAATAGTGTATATATGTATACAGGGTGATTCTAAATTGTTTTTACAAATTAAGAGGGGTGGTAGTACTCATCCAGATGAGCAATAATTACCATAGAACATAGGGTCGCATTCCACTCTGAGAGGCAGAAAAGAGGAATATTAGAATTCCAACCTAAACTTACAACAGTGTTGGAAGAACGAATGAACGAGACCAAAAGTTGCACAATCAATTTAGTGAAAAACTCACAGAGAGCACACGAAACGGATAAAACCAAAAACTCGGTGTTCGAGTGTAAATTCGGGCTCAGTCTTTGATGGTAAACACTCAAATACACATCTTTGGTTGGCAAAATGTCAATCTTGCAAACAATTGCAACAAGTTAATTATCTAATCAAGGGCTGAATATTATCAGCTAACTTTTGCTCATGCTGTGTTCCCGCTGTCAGAACTTCGTGTCCCATAGAAGGGCACTTCAAGTAGATTGAGCCCAGCACAGTAATTAGTAAGCAGGAGGACAGGATAGAAGATGGCAAAGGGGGGGACTGCTAAGGTAGCAGTTTTTCCCCCTAACAGATAATTTCTCCCTAATAATTTTAGATAATTAATTTGTTGCAATCGTTTGTGAGGTTTACCAACCAAAGATGTGCATTTAAGAGTTGCCATCAAAGCCTGACCTCGAAAGCCAAGTTTTCGGTTTTATCCGTTTTGTGCACCCTCTGCGAGTTTTTCACTAAACAGACTGTGCAACTTTTGGTCTCGTTTGCTTTAGCATTTGTTGTAGTCAACAAATTTATATAACATTTATATCTGAGTCACCTTTTTTTAATCCTTTAATTTTGTTAAAAGGCAGAAATAAAATTAAAGAAAGTAAGTTTACAAAACTTTATTTATATCTATTTTATGACTGGTTTATTTCATTTTTTCCAGTTATCTGACTCAGAAAGTACCATGGATCTATGGATACTAAGTCGTTTATCATCTGCTGTAGAATCTTGCAATAATGGATTTGAAACTTATGACTTTCCTGCTGCTACAACAGCTTGCTATGCATTTTGGTTATATGATTTGTGTGATGTTTATTTGGTATTATACTTTTTATAGTTCTCTCAGAAATATAAAATTTTTGATAAAATTAATATGTGTATATTGAAAATGATCATGTTTTATCTTTAGGAGTTTCAAGGTAATATTTAATATGGAGTAATAATTTTCCTGCTTTGCTAGTTTTGTTTCCATTATTATTTTTTGTTTTGATAATTTTTAATCCTTCTTTATATTAAAAAAAATATATTGGGCATGGATATTTAGAATTCAGGATCTTTTTCCATTGTAGAATAATATATGCCAGACAGTTTTCTGTAGAAGGCTGTATATTCAAACTTCATACAGCCATTGAGAAAACATAGTACTTTTGTTGTAAATTCATGTGGAGACACCAGAATAAAGCCCCCCCCAAAAAAAAGTATTAAAATTAAGCAACTGATCTTAGCTGGCATTCAAGTCTATTACCTACCTTTAAATCATGTGTGTTCTTAATTCTTAAAACAATGTACTTATTTTCAAAATAAGTATTGCCTATAAATTGTTTGTAAAATATATCATACTGTTTTAATATTGTATTTATTGAAATAACTAGGCAAGAAAAAAATTTTTTGTGTTTAGAAAAAAATTACCATTGAGAAAGATCCGGATTTTGAATAACTTTTCTGTAGCTTTAACATTTTATCTTTTTATAATAAAAACATATTTATTCAGTAATATTGAAATGCACTTTTTCTATAATTAGGACCCTAAAATTTGTTTTCCTTAAAATATTTTTAGCGAAAGAATGTAGTTTTATTACTAGAGTAGTTTTATTATTATTATAAATAGAATTTTTTATATGTAGATAAATTAAAAATAATGCAGCAATTTTACTGTGATTTAAAAGGTGTTAAAACCACATACAAGATTCATTAACGTGTTTCTAGGCGACATTGTATTTACTCGAAAATAAGATCCTTCTTACATTCTGGGATAAATTTCAAGAAATAAAAATATATGGGAAGATTTGTTTTGTCTTAAAGTAATTCTGAGACAGAAAATGTTAGTTTTTATTCCCTTGCTTCAAAATTCCCATAAAATAACTCAACCTTTAGCTGTAATCTTAGAACATTGTTGATGATAAGTTTATTGCCTATTTCTTTTCAGGCATATTAATAACCAGTAAAATCGCAGGTTTGAACAGAAATTGCTGAGTTAGATGTGGCTATTATAATTAGCAGTAGTTATGCAGTTTATACGTAACTATATGTTTGTGTGTGTGTATAATATATATATAGTATACAATTTATGGTAATCACCTGTGTGATTTATTTAGTATTTAAATAGTGCAACTATCCTATATAATACAATAATTAAACTTCTTCCTTTATTTTTGCATTTTCATTTATCAAAATACCTGATTATAAGTCTCTTGGATTACTACCAAATTTTAGATCAAAATCATAACAAAAAAAATCTGATGTGTACACCACATGACTTCCTTGTATGGAATATTAAATTATATGCATTTTTTCTTGCATTTTATTTAAACTTATTAGATTGAATTAAACGTACTTCGCCGACAGCGCATAAACCACAATAGAATAAATGCATTCTTTAAAATTCACTTTGTTTACCATACACTCTGGCACGAGGTTTACTCAACAGTATTATATTTCGTTCATATTATAACTATGTCTATGTCATAACACAATTAAGAGGCAATCGGCCTAGTGCGGCCTTTACCAATATATTATAAGTAGGGTGCCTTTAATGATGAGTTGAATCCAGTACGATGGAACGTACTTTTTGCACTTAGTGCAGAGTCTCTAGAAGAGAAGTAAACGTGGCCCCGCGATGTGAGGATCTGCAACTTGAGAATTTCTGCCACTCGGCTATGCTTGTCTTGAGAGAAGCTGCAAATTAATCTTTATCTGCATAGTTCAGAATCATCTCAATTTCATCTGGTTTTAATTTACAGGTATTGGATCTGTGATTTTGTCTGCACTTACAGCACCTGACCTTTTTAAAGCAGTTATTTTGGGAGTGCCCGAACTCCTGGCAATTGAAACATTGAATTGGGCGTTTTCTGGGCTGATATTTTTCTATTGTGATATTAAATCCGAACATATTGTTTAATTGATGAATTTTCTCTCCTGCAGAATTTCTTTTTAGTTCAAGGAAAAATATAGGTAAATGGATAATTTGGTCTTCTGCTTTCTTCATGAATTGCTTTATTTTAATTATAGGGAAGCTTCCGCGTTCTAAGTCTGCTTGAATTGCTTGCTCTGTGTAGGATCTTGGCATATTCTTAAGTATAACTTTAATTGAAGAGGCTGAGGAAATTTGGTACGTATGAAAACTAATGTGCTTTCTTGAATTTATCAACTGTGGCTTTATAATCGGCTTCGGTGGTAGTATAAAGGAAAATCTGTCTGGCTTTGATTGTAACTTCAAATTCGTTTTTACATATCTCTCTGAGCATTTTGTCAATTTCAGGCCAATCAACATCGTTTTCTGGAATGGCTAATGGGGAAATTTTCGTTTTATTTTCTGCTTTATTCTGTGTTGTAGTCATCTGCGTTTCATCTGTAACTTCCATATCTTCGTTATTTTCGTTAAGAGTTTCGAATGTGTTATTTTGCGGAATAGCTGCTGGTGGGATAGACTCAGAAATTTTTGCGGTTTTCTTTGGAGTTTGCCAATCCTTCTGATTTATCGTTTTATCATCTGTTTTAGAATTTGTGAGCTTCGGGGTGTTCTGAATGCTTGCTAAAATGAACTGATTTTGTTGAATTTCTTCTTGTAACTTTGAATGCATTTCTATCGCTAGTGGAAAGGTTAATGTCTTCATAGACTCAATACAGTTTAATTTATCGCCGATTTCGTTTTGTAATTTGAGTGAGAGATCTTTTGGGTTAGTCGGAAGCTGAGTATTAAAATATTCTTGCGAGATAGCTTCTGTTAAATTAGGAAAAACTTTTCTGTGTTTGTTAACTACTGCTTCAAAATTTGAAAGAGAGGGTTTGAATTTCTTAGTATTATTGGCTATTTTCTTAGGACTTCCTGCAGTTTTCTTTTCTTTTCTCTGGGATTTACTTTTCTTAGTAGAAATTAGTATACTTTGAAGCGCCGGGTCATCTGAAGCAATTACAGGCATCTCTTTGGATGTAGTCGATTTTCTTGAATAATTCGAATAAGTAGAATCATTATTGGTATCATAATTGCTGAAAGTTCATATTATAACTCTAAATGCACAAAATTTATATCATTTAAAGAATTATCTAATCGTTGCCACATGTTCTATTCAAATACTATAATAAAGCTAGAACTATGTATAAAACAAAAAAGAAACAGTTTTTCACTGACAATTGAGTATTTCTCATTCAATTAATTCAGTTCTTACTTCACGACAAGGCAAAAATACATAAAAACTCAACATATCTGTATTAAAAATTACGAAGTAAATCTTAAACGCTTATTTCCTCAAAAAAATTCAAGAAAGGATTAAGCATGATTTAATTCGCAATAATAAATGAATGCGTTATCTTTGTTGTTGCGAAGCTAAGTTTCTCTAGATTGGCAACAAATCCACTAGTCTCCTGTTTCAAATGTAAACATCAATGGCCGCCATTAAAATAGGCTTAGCGGCACTTAAACAATTTTAAAATTGTTGATAATTCTAAAAATATTGCATACAGATTTACTAAAGGCATAAAACCCTTAACCGGAAGATAAAAACAACATAATTCACTCATTTTTAAAGCAAAAAATGTACAATTTACAAACATATGAGAGTAAAGAAACTGAGATCACTGAGCCAGGTATATTTATAAATATATTTAATATACGTTTGGCACGGCCGATTGAAACCAAAATACGAGGTGCACATCTACATGTTGTAGTAGTCTTATATACAAAATTTCAACGTTCTGAGGCTACTCGTTTTTGAGTTATGCGAGATACGTACATACGTTCGTACAGACGCCACGAAAAATTCTCTTCAGAATTCATTTTAAAGCAGTTTTTTAGTTTTTTTGGAGGAAAAGAGACTTTTATTCTGTCTTTACGTACAGATATCATGCAAAAGCATGGTTAAATTGCATACGAAAGCAGTCAAAGTGGATATTTTTGTTGAAATATGCTGCCTGAAGCTTTTCGCGATTACAGTACTTCCTTTTTACTTCGTACAAGGAAATATAAAGTGTGTTATTTTCGTGTAAATACAGTATATTTATTGAAATTATGTTTACAAGTATCAGTGCAATTACATCTTTTGTTATTGTGAAGTATATGAGCTTTCTTTGTTTCATTCTGTTATTAAACAAAGTACTAAAAAAAGGGCCTTTTTTTCAAAAGTGCTTTGTTTTGAGTACTTTTTAAAGAGCTTTCTGTTATTAATTATATGATAATTCTGGAAAATTTCCATATTTATATAGGAATCACTGAAACCTGTGTTTCAAAGTGAGGATAAAACTGCAATTGAGGTATCAAAAGAAATGTTGTATACATGTCTAGATACAGGCCTTCGTCTTTTGAGCCCTTTTATGCCATTTGTCACTGAAGAATTATTCCAGAGATTACCGAGACGGAGAGGGGATACTGTAGAAAGTATCACTGTATCACATTATCCAGTTCCAGAAGAGGTCAGTTTTGTGAAAATACTTTCCCCTTTCCTGTGTATGTGTAAACACGTGCATGCACTAATTCGCAATCAAATTTCACTTTTTAATATAAAATTATTAGAATTTTGTAAAGTGATTATTATTCCTATTTTGTACAAAGTAATGAATTATACCATATTTATAAATTTTATTTTTAAATTTTCGTATTATATGATACTGTATTGTGTATATTTTTATTTATTTGTTATTCTATATAGTATCCATGGAAAAACTGTGATTTGGAGAAATCAGTATCTTTTGCTTTAGATATTGTTCATAAAGTCAGGTCTTTGAGAGCTGATTACAACCTACCAAAAAATGAAAAATTAGACTGTAAGTAAAGTATCTAGTTAAAATGTTTTTAAACTTGATAATATATTATCAAATAGTTTATAAATTCTGTATTCTCATCGTTCCTCTTTATTAAAGTTGTAAAATGTTGACATATTTGAAGTGTTCAGTTTTTTTTTTGAAATTCGTCCTATGCCACACTTACAAAAGTCCTTGCTTTCCTGTATCCAGAACTAGCCGATGAAACATTTCAATCTATTTTAATTATAATAGTTCACCTGAAAATTCTGCCCTTTCCCCAAAGCAAGGAAAAAACAAAGTAAATTCTGATTAGAATCTTGTACCTTAAATAAGAGAATTTTATTTTATTCTAAATAAAGAGAATTCTATTTATTTTTAGTAAAAAAAAAAAAAAAAAAAAAAAAACAGAGGTACCAGAGGAAACAACAAAAAATTTTAAACTTAATTCTACAGTCAAAATTTCAAGATTTATTTGATGAGCAACACTTCAAGAAAAATATTTTTTACCTTCATTCCATACCTCATAGACATCTTTTTAATCATTCAAAATTTTGTCAAAGATAAATTCAAAGGGAATAATCTCATTAAAAATTTGGTACTTGTTCTCATAAAAATTCAAATTTAACTGTGCTTCTTCCCAAAAAAAAAAAAAAAAAAAAAATCTGTATCATTAACTTTCTACATAAAAATTATGATGATCTTCAATTTCATAGGATTTTGAAACAAGCACAACAAAAATTTCGGTTTGCTTCAAGTGCAACAAAAAACTAAGTAATTTTATTTCTAACCATAATGATGAAGATTTTGCAATACCATGATTAAGTAATGAAGAAAAATTTCTGCCATTTGTTGACGATGAAGACAAGCATATTATAACAGGAAATCTGGACAGTATTCAAGATCAATTAGAATGCTTATGAAAAAAGGAATGAAGTTTAGACCTATTAAATTCATTAGTAAATTACATTTCATAAAAAGTATTTCTTCAGATATTGATAATTTTATCTTGAAAATTAGTTCTCAACTTAGCTTACCTTCACATTTATTTAAAGAATGGAAGAATGAAGTAGTTACTCAAAACAAAAGGAAAATTGAGAGAAAATACAAGGATTTAAAGGAATTAAAAACTGGAAAATTTACTTTTGAAGTTTTCACAATTAAAAAAGCAATGTACTGTAACCAGAATTGATAAAGCAAACAATGAGTAATATAGCAAGATGGCATATAAAAATTATGAAGTGAAATTAAAAGTGTGAAGTACTTGTTTATGAAACAATGAACATTAAGGGAATCAGAATTTAAGAAAAAAAAAAAAAAAAAAAAAGCTCAATATTTATTTGTTTGGTTTATAAAACATTTATTTCAGTTTAAGTTACTTCACGTGATTTCTTCTCAGCTACTTTGTCACTTTCTTCACAATCAGTAGCAATATTTTTTGCATTTAGAACCACACAGCAGTGCATCTACAGCAGTGGGATTTATTTTATTTCTCAGGTCTCATGTCCTCATATGTCTAGAAAAGGGCTTATGTGGCCTCTATTTTTACACGTGATATATTTACAGTTTATTACTACAAAAAGTACTTAAAAAAATATTTATGTTGCCTTTATTTTTGCATGGTTGTAGCCATGCACTTCCAATTACAAAAATAATGTAAATAAAGTAGATGTCCATGTTGTTTTGCATTATCAATTTAAAAAATCGATTTTTATATTACAAAAGTAAAATTTTTATGAGGTTCCCCGACCCCTATAATTATATTTATAAAGGTGAAAAATTTGCGTACCATGCAATGAAAATTGTCTGCGATAATTTTTTAAGTTTTAAGATCATGATTTCTGAAAATTTCTGGTGTCATACACAAGTGAAGATCAAAATGTGTAATAAATTTGCATGTAACTAAAAATTAAATATTAGTTTAGGGAAAAAATTCTTGATATTTATTGTATGTAGTCTATTATGGAAAGTTTTGATCAACAGAAATTTTTTCAGAAAGATCTTATTAACACACAGTTATAAAATTTCTGTTTTAGAATATAGTGGCATGTTTCAAACATTGGCCTTTGCCAACTCATTACCAGTAGCATGCAGGCAGTGGATTGGGGGTAACTAGCTTAGTCCCTTAACATTTTATGCATTAATATTTTCAAGTATATTTTTAACCAACATTAAAAGCATTAAGAGAATCATCATTTTACCTCTTTTGAAACCGTGTGAGTGTAATCAGATTTTCATGTAAGTGGGAAAAGGTTGAGTTGAATTGGTTCTATGAGAGAAAGGATTACCCCCCCCTTTTTTTTTTTTTTTTTTTTTTTTTTTTTGAACCTGTCCACATACTTTTCTGTCGACATGGTGTCAACTACTTGTGGTAGATCATCCAAAATTTTAATTTCTCATGAATTCTTTCAAGAAATTAATTAAATTTCTAGCGCTATATTTTACTTTATTTTCATGAAAGCATACTTGTGGTGCATGAAAGAATTCAAGTAAAATATATTGATCTAGTGATTCCAAGTTCAAATTATGGAGAAGAAGGCAGAATGAAAAGTTAGTTCTCATACAAGAGATCATTGCAGATTGGCTGGCCTTGTTATAAAATGTTAACTAATCATTTACTTTTTATGGCATCCATCAGGGGAAAAAAATTATTTATTATGATATGGTCACTTTCAGTTCCCCTCTTTATCCGATTTTTCATAAATTTGTCAATGCAAATTAACAAGTATTGTACCCATTAGTCTCCAAATTAATATTTTTGGTTTACATATTTAAAATACAATAAACCCTGTGATGATGATGACCTAAGATGTCAAGGTGACCTTTTTAGAAAGTGATCAATATTTCTAAAAACATAACTGCCAGTACTGAATTTCACCTTTCTAAGACAACCTTTGCCTCTGTCCATGCATGGTCATCTCAGGATTGTAAATTTTCTTTTCTGAAGTTCTGCATAGTCTACTTCAGTAGAAATTGTAACATGCCACTGCTCATAACATATTTACATAAATTAAAAATACAGTTACACCCTGCTTTAACAAATGGTTTGCTATAATCTGGTGGTTTAGAAAAATGGATTGTATAAGGGTCGTTCAAGGTTGACCGGGATTTTCGTATGTAAATAGTCGATGAATAGCCAAATCATGATGAACTTGCAGATGACGTAATGTATTCCTTCTGGAGTAACTAGTGCCTGGCATGACATATTTCGTGCATGAGCAGCTGTTGCAGCTAACATGGCAGCAAGCAGTTTGTCTGTGGCTGTGGAGCAGTGGTGTGTAATCAAATTTCTTGTGAAGGAGAAAGTTAAACCAGTTGAGATTTTCAGAAGATTGCAAACACAGTATGGTGAACAGTGTTACGGACAAGAGTATACGAAAAATGTGAACAGTTTCGCGAAGGACGGGAGCTAGTGACAAATGAAACACATGAACACATTCGCCCGATTGCAGTCACACACCAGTGAATATCGCACGTGTTGAGCAAGTGATTCTTGAGAACCAGCAAGTAACAGTGCAGGATATTGCTGCCGAGGTGAATATCAGTGTCGGGAGTGTTGAGATAATCATTCACGACCACTTACGTTTCCGCAAAAATCTGTGCAAGGTGAGTTCCCCGCCAGCTGACATTTGATCAGAAGTGGTAACGCATGACAGTATGTGAACAGCTTCTGCATCGGTTGCAAGCCGAAGGCGATGAATTGCTGCAATCCATCATCATGTGTGATGAAACATAGTTGCACAATTCAACCCCAGAAACCAAAAGAAGCAGCATGGAGTGGTGGCATGCAAAACGTAGCCGTCCGCTGGAAAGATCATGGGAAGTGTCTTCTGGGACATGAAAGATGTTATCCATGTGGATTTTCTGGGCAAAGGGAGCACAATTAATGTTCTGTATTACTCTACATTGTTGAATGGTACTGTACGAAAGTCCATTTGCAAGAAAAGACCTGAGATGTTGTCTGGAAACGTCATTCTTCTCCATGACAATGCCCGTCCTGACACATCCAATCATTAGAATGCAAAGGAAGGTGAGGGTGAAGGTAAGAGGCAGCAATATAAAGATGTTTTTTGCTATCCTAGTAGCCTAAGTGTGGATGATTTTAAAGCTTAGTATAATTCTGAAAAACATAAAAAATGCAAAATACTTCTGTAAAAGATGTCCATAAATTTCGTTATATTTGATTTTCTTAGATTTGGTGATTTACTATAACTAACTGAAGGACGTAAATTTAAATTTTCGATTTATTGTAACTTTATTTTTTAACTGACTCCTCAAGAAGAGGAATAAAATTAATTTCCAGCCAATGAAAAATTCAAAAAAATCTCAAACTTTGAAATTAAGTATCTTGGCCACTCTTTGTCATATGGGAGTTGAAACTTTTTGAATTTTATTTTTTAGAATTAGTATAAATTTTTATTAAACATGACAATATGGACTGAAAGACCACATAAAAAGTTAGATTTTGTAATGTTTAAAAACTGATTTTTTTTAATTTAACATACTCTAAGCATTTGGGTCATTAAAACATTTTTTAATTGGAAGTACATGTCTGCAACTCAGGATTGTGAAAATAAAGATGTCTTCTGAAGTCTTCTGAAATAAGTAATCTTATTTTATCATTGCTAACATTCATTTAAAAAAAAATACACAGAAAGAAAAAAATATACTTCTTTTAACTCTTTGGCTTATTAATTGGTAGGCAAAAATATGCTAAATTTCATTACTTGTAACTTTTTTATATCAATCTGTATTTTACAAGTATTCAACTTGAATTCAATGCATAATTTTACAGCTGTGTAAAGTAGTTTAATTTCTCAATGACTAATTTGCATAATTTTTTGCAGTTATTAAAAACTATACTTATTTCAATATGTAAAACTTTCCAAATTATTTTTTCAGTGTAATTTTGTTCTTTAATTCGGAGCTTCTGCAGCTGTTGTTTAAAACTCCTATGTTTTTAAATATTAAACAAATTTTATAATTATTCAATAAAAAAATTTTTAATTGCAGTCATTGAGCATTTGTCTCAATCATTGTTTAATTTTTATTTTTATTAAATTCTATACTCCTTTATGGTATTCATGAAACAAAATGATTTTACTGCTTTTCTTCAGTATTTTTGAGATGTGATGATGATAGCACAAAATCTTCACTTGCAAGCCTGCAGCAAAGTATTCTCACCTTAACATCCTCAGCTACTGTAATGCTGTCTGATCTTGAAGGAATTCCCAAAGGCTGTGCTATTACAACAATATCAGAAAACTGTGAAGCACATTTGCTGTTAAAAGTTAGTTGAATATTGATATAATAATATGATTTTAAATATTTTGTGTTATATATGTATATAATATTATATGTGCAACTTTGATTGCTCAACTTTGTTTATAGTGATAAATGGAAATATAGTTTATGAAATATGTGTTTAAAAAATTGAACAGTTAGATAAAAAATATGCTGGTTATAAGTATTGAAATAAAAATAAAATTAGTGATGGCTAATATTTTTTCACTGAAGAATGGATCTTATAATATAGGTTTATTACAAATGTTTCATCATGTTTGAAAATGGCATATTTCATAAAGTTTTTCAAATAACAAAATTATAGCATTATAAATATTTGATAAAATACTTATCTCCATGAATTTGGTGAGCATGAAAGGTTAAACAGTAAAACTAAAGAATTGCACTCAGCACAATACAGGTGTGCTCTTTTCATTGATTTATTATTCACATTAAATGGTGAAAGTTGACTATTTTTAATGCTCTTTACATATTTTGTTTATATAGTTTTGGCCTCTAATTACCTTTTCCATATTCAATTGTTTCTTTGTTCTATGGAATGCATCCAAATAGGACTACAGTTCTCACATTCATTGTAATATTTCTCTTCCTGATGGTGCCCATCAGCAGCCAAGCAGTAAAGTCATTGAACACTGGTAGTTGAAATCCCAATGAATAGGCTGGCTGCAAAGGTCTTTTTCATGGTTTTGCTCATGTGTGACATGTATATGAGCCATTTATCATAGAAAGTCCTCCATGAAGATATCCCTCCCCTTAGGCAGATAACCCTTGAGTGCTTTACCACAATCAAGTAAGCTAATTTCTTAATGGCCACTATTTGTTATGCAGTCCTGTAACTCCCCTAATGTTACCAGACCAGGGGAGACAAAACATTATCTTTAATATATTCTCCCCCCCCCAAAAAAAAAATAAGGTCTATAATCAGTATAAGTTCAGTTGGAATTGCCGTCACAAATTTTTCCAAATATTTAGCTACAGAATACCAAGTTTGTGGTCATTGTAGTTTCTCGATTTTTGTCGGCAAAGCACATAACTCTCTTCAACATTTCATTAGAAATGCTTGGTCATCCTGGCCTCTTGAATCTACAAAGGCAGCCAGTGATTTTTAATTATACAGAATGCTCTAGCACCTTGGTAGATCTGTATAATATTGCCTTTTAAATACATATTACACATGTAGATGAACTTTTGCATATTCTTAAGTGCAAAATGCTGTCTACTGTAAACTCATCATATTAAAAATAGAACTAACTCTATCTGCTATGCAATATGCGATGAGAAATTTTGTTTGAACAAATTAAAAAATTTCATATGTTTTCTGCTGCTATGTGAATACTAGGTGTATGTGCTGCTCATCAGCAAAAATTATAGAGCTTCAAATTTCAATTAAACATCTGTAACAACCCTGCACAAACAATTTCAGTTTTATAGCTTTTCTCCACTTCCCCCAGTAATATAAGTAAGAAATATAAAAAGAAATTAAGGAAGGATATTTTAAGTATGTATATTTAAGGAATACTATATATTTCCATGTATACAATGAGAATTTTTGGAAATTTTTTCTGAAGCTTAATTACGGAGTCTGCTTATAATACAGATCTACTAATCTTGTGTAAAATGTAGGTACTTTTTCCTGTTAGCAGAGTGCAAGCAATAAATCCCCAGATATCACAGTTTTTAATTGCTTAATTTATTTTAAGTTTATGAAAAAAAATTAATTTAAAATAAAATGGGTTGGTTTATTTTTTAGAAATTATTTTTAATGCTGGTTTCCTGCTGCCAAATTAAAAATTCTGATGTTGGAAAAATTTGTGCCCTGCCTTTTGTACTACAGTCAAAAGTCTTTAATTCGGACTCGTCGGGACTTCGGCGATTCCGGATTATCGGTTTTTACAGATTATAGATCATCAATTAAATCTGGTAAGATGGCATGCAGAAATTATAAAATTAAAAATATGAAAACGTAATTTATGAAATAAAGAGCAATTATGATCTAAAGGGTATCAAAATTTACAAAAAAGAAAGCTTAATATTTATTTGTGTACTTTATTAAACATTTCTTTCAATGCGCGCATGCGTAAAGCATACATTACGCATAGTCGAAATTAGAAAATTGCAACCAGAAAACTATTTGATGTGTATTCGTGATATTTATAATGACAAGGAATTATATTTAAATCATATCAAAGACGGAGTACATCGAGATGAAAGACTACATTTAGTAAGGAATTATAAGCTGAATAAAATAAAAACATCTACCCTGAAGATAAGGATAGTGCTGACAGATCAACTTCCAATTCATTGTGCGCTGTGGCGTCCCCCCCCCCCGGCAGAGCAGCGTGAAATTGATAAACAGATTTCGGAATGGTTAGAGAAACAAAGGATATGTCTTTATCCATTTTTTTTGCAGCAATTCCACTTTCTGTTTGATGGACGTCGAAACATGCTTGCGCTTTGTAGATCCTTTGGCATCTCCAGAATCGGAAATTCTTTTTGATATAATCGAAAGTTCAAGCTTACTTTTATAAAATTGCTCTAACAGTTTGCAAAAAATAATAAGCCGGATCCAATTAGAAGATTAAGGAACAACGCAATCTGCAACATTAACTGAAATAGATATTTTAGCTTAGCTTATACCGTCTGTTATACATTAAATGCGCATGCATAAATGTATTATGTGCATTTACGCGCATGTGTTGACGCATGCGCAGAAGCTTTGAGGTCCGGATTATAGATCATTCCGGATTAAAGACTTTTGACTGTATTGAACTTGTTTTTCATTTGCAGGGAAATGCTGAGCAGCCACACTTGTTAGAAATTTTAGCAAATGCCATCTCTTGTAGTTTGAAATATGCAATGAAAGAATGTCTCTACCAGCTGATATTTCAAACAAAAAAATAAAATGGCACAAAAGAAAAGACTAACACAGATCTCACAGATCGTATACAAGACAACAAATGAATGGACAAAATGTGCTAGTGTCAGCTAGGTTATCAGAGTTAAAATTATCATCATTGGCATCTAGCATTTTATTTTATGGTGATTTGATTTTAAAATATTCCATAAATTGTACTTGTTTGGTAACATTTTCACCCTCGAGGTGTTATTTGAACATTACAATATCCCCCACACCAATTTACTTATATACAGGTTTTGAATTTTGAATAATTTTTTAATGGCTTATATTCGGAAATATAATATATGGCATTTAAAAATTGAATTATGAAATTAACATGGTAATGTAATAAAGTCATAAATTCTTACAAAAACTGAAAACTCTAACTTCATCTTCAATATTAAGTTGTCTGTATCTACTCACAAGGAAAATATATTACCTTAGTCTTGCTTTTAAAAAAAAAAAAAATTCTGCATGATTATAGAGTACTTTGAAGTGAATATATATGTGTGAAAAAATGGTGCTCATGCAAAATGCAGTTTTTTATTTACTTCATTCTAATTTAATATACTTTCCCGAAAACTTGTCCGTGATAAAAATATGATATTTATCATAAAAAGCATTAAAATTTCAAAATATGTGCTTTGTACATTGAATGAGTGATTGTTTGTCACAATTCATAATTCCGTCAGAATAGCATTGTGTAAAAATTTCTTGAGAAAAGCAATTTTCAATAACCTTCATAAAAATTCTCCCACATATATTATCAGTAATGCTGCATTACTGTATTTCTAGTTTTATGTTCTTATGTTTCACAAACACATATTATGCTTAAAACTTTAAATTATGATAAGCCATCATTTATTCGATACATTCCAAATGCCAGTATTTGATATTTTAAACATTTTTGCAATATAAAAAGGTACAAGTTAGACCCCCGCCCCTAAAAAAATTGCTTTCATCTGGTTGTCAGCAGGTCTTACTGTAAATGCATTTCTTTTGCTGCAATTTCTTTTTGGGGGGGGATATAAGCTTACCTTTTTTCAGAATGATGATACTAAAGTACTTGTACAGTAGATGCGTTCCTTGAAAAAAACTCTTGTGGGAAATCACATTATAGGAGACACCAACATAAATTGGGATTCAATTCTAAAAAAAAGAAAAACTACTTTTTGTGGTATAACATTTTCATCATTTTTACTTCCTTGTACAAAGTAAAGGAAGTATTGTAATCACGGAAAATTCCGGGTATCATATTTCAACAAAAATATTCCAATTTTACCGCTTTTGAATGAAATTTAATGCTGTTTTTGTGTGACATCTGTATATAAGGATAGAATAAAGGACTCTTTTTCCCCAAACAAATTATGAGACTGATTTAAAATTAATTCAGAGATTTTTTTTTCGTGGCGACTGTAGTACGTAGGTATGTATGTATCTCGCATAACTCCAAAATGAGTAGCCTCAAAACGTTGAAATTTTGTATATAGGTCAGCTATAACATGTAGTTATGCACTTTCCTTTTTGGTTGCAATCTGCTACATCAAAAGTATATAAATATATATACCCACTCTGTTACTCAGTTCAGTGAGCTTTTTTATTTCCATGTATGAAGTAAAGGAAGTATAGCAATCATGAAAAATTTCGGGTATCGTATTTCAATGAAAATATTCATTTTGAGCGCTATCAAATGCAATTTAACGATGATTTTCCTTGACATCTGTACATAAGGGCAGAATAGAGGACTCTTTTTTCCCCTAGCAAATTATAAAACTGATTTAAAATGGATTCAGAACAGATTTTTTTGTGTGTCTGTTATGTATGGATGTATCTTGCATATCTTAAAACTAAGTACCCTCAGAACGTTGAAATTTTGTATATAGAACTGCTATAATATGTAGTTGTGCATCTCTCTCTCTCTTTTTTTATAATCTCTCTCTTTTTTTAATAAGCGATGCCAAACCGGGCAATCAAGCTAGGCCAAATATTTCGTGAATAGAAGGGATAAGAAAACAGCGAACAAAAGAACTCATTCTGTAAAGATTTAGCTAATTCATTTTGAGTGAAAGCAATTTATGCATAAATTCTAC